ACTACAGTTGCCTCCAGTCCCAGTGAGAGCTTGGGTGTCCTGCACCCCAGCCTTGTCGTCCCGGTGCCCCGCCCCCGCCCTTCCCCACAGAGACCCGGGCGGACCCAGCCAGTGGCCGAGCCTTATTCTCTGGGGCCTGCGGCCAGTGCCTGGCCTGTCAGTATTTATGTGTCTGGCCGCACCAGCCTGCCATCTCTGCCCCAGGCTCGGCTCCACCATCCCGGCCAGCCCCCTCACCCAGCCTGGACCCCCGAGGGACCAAGTGATCAGCCTGATCAGCCGCAGCCTTCTGTGACCCCCCTCCCGGCCAGGCTCCGCCTCACCCACAGAGCTGGCCCTGCTTCCCCTTTCTGACGGGAAATAAAATTCCCCTATGAAGCCTGCTGTGTGCAAGTCTGTGTGTGCTGGGGACCAGGGGGTGGCTGAGTGTGGCCAGCCGTGTGCTGGGCTGCTGGGGGAGACTGGGCTTGCACCGCAGTTGTGTGTGCACGCCTGCATGTAAGGGAGCCTGAGTGTGTGTGTGTGGTGTGTGTGCCTGCCTGCAGGGGAATCCAGTATGTAAGGAGATCTGCGTATGAGTGCCTGCCAGCAGGGGAGTCCAGTGTGTAAGGAAGTGTGTGTGTGTGTGTGTGCGTGCACGTGCCTTCCTGCAGCAGAGTCTGGTGTGTAAGGAAATTGTGTGTGTGGGTGTGTGCGCCTGCCTGGCTGCAGGGGAGTCCGGTGTGTAAGGAAATATGTGTGTGTGTGTGTGTTTGTGTGTGCACGCGCCTTCCTCAGCAGAGTCCGGTGTGTAAGGAAATTGTGTGTGTGTGCCTGTCCTGCAGGGGAGTACAGAGTGTAAGGAAATCTGTGTGTGAATGTGTGTGTGTGTGCCTGCCTGCCTGCAGGGGAGTCCTGTGTGTAAGGAAATCGTGTGTGTGTGTGTGTGTGTGCCTGCCTGCAGGGGAGTCCAGTGTGTAAGGAAATATGTGTGTGTGTGTGTCTGTGTGTGCACGCGCCTTCCTCAGCAGAGTCCGGTGTGTAAGGAAATTGTGTGTGTGTGCCTGTCCTGCAGGGGAGTACAGAGTGTAAGGAAATCTGTGTGAATGTGTGTGTGTGTGCCTGCCTGCCTGCAGGGGAGTCCTGTGTGTAAGGAAATCGTGTGTGTGTGTGTGTGTGCCTGCCTGCAGGGGAATCTGGTGTGTAAGGAAACCGTGTGTGTGTGTGCGCGCGCACGCACACGTGCCTGCCTGCATGGGAGTCCGGTGTGTAAAGAAATGTGTGTGTGTGTGTGTGTGTATGCGCTTACCTGCAGGAGAGGCTGGTGTGCATACACACTGGGGATGGGTTGGTGTGTGTTCATGTACATGCTGGGGAGAAGGCAGAGTGTGTGTTTGCCACAAGGGGTGTGGTTGACAAGCAGGGTAGCCGGGCTGGTCCTGTGAGGATCCTGTGGTTCCTGAGGAAGCGGGGGTCAGGCGCTCCGTGGGTAGGTGGGAGAGGCAGGGTGCTCCCTGCTTGGGACTGCGGGAGAGCCTGGGCACTCCCTGACCAGGAAAGCTCCAGAAACGCACTTCTCTGCCTGTTGTCCCCCTACGTCACAGCCCAGCCCTGGCTGTGGCCTTCGGTCCCCCAGGAGCCAGGTCAGGCCTCGGCTGGATCCCAGGCGGCCCCTGCTGGCAACGCCAGCTCAGGGCCTGGCCCGCTGCAGCCTCCAGCGCGGGTGTGGCCGGCAGAGGAGGCCCTTTCCTTCCTGGGAAACGCCCTTTCCCCAGGGGGTGCTGCTGAGCACACAGCCGCAGCCTTCCGGAACGCTGTCAGCACTGGCTGGCCTGCATCCACATCCACTGAAGCTGAGGCCCAAAAGGCCACCCGGGTTCACTCTCTGGTTTCCTGGGTGTCAGGTGGGGTGAACTCAGACCCCAAGTGCCAGGCTGGATGGGCGCTCTGCCAGCAGCCAGGACTTTGTTACGGCTCCTCCCAGGGCCTCACTGCACCTGCAGGACCTGTGGGACGTGTCTCTGAGGTCCCAAGTCCAGCCTGGTCAAGTCCTACCGAGGAGCTCAGACAGCCCTGTGCCCTCAATTGGGCGCTGCCCTCTGAGGCGATGTCCTGGCCAGTACCTGAGCCCTGCCCCCAACCCAACTCTAGCAGTGGCTCTTCCAGCTGGCTTCAGGGCCACCCCTTACCCCCTGCCCTCAAGCTACAGCCAGAGTAAGGGGCACTTCCCTGAGCAACCACACTGGGAGCATTGCTCCCAGCCCTCAATCCCCCAAGACCACCCTGCCCCTTGGCACCTGGGCCCTGCCCCAAGTCCCCAGAGGCCCCGTAAGTGCTAAGAAAACAAGGGCCCAGGGACAGGCTTAGGATGGTGAGCACTGGGTCTACCCAGTGGGCTGAGGTCCAGAGTGGTCACGGCTCTGGCTGTGTTCAGGGGCCTGGACGCACCCCATCCTTTCCCCCCCACAACAGTTGCTGCCGGGAGCCTGGAGACCTTGAAAACATGCATTTGAGAGGGTCGGGCACCAGCACCCACCATGCTAAAGCCACAGCCGTCCTAACACCCAGGAGGCACCACTACAGGCAACTGCCCTGGTCTTGGGCTACCAAGACCCAGTTTGGTTACTGTGCCTTGGTCACAAGCAACAACTGGGGCTCTTGTGGACCCAGTTCTGTCTCCTGTACACACTTTCCTGTCTGTCCCAGGGCGGAGGGCCTCCAGCCCCTCACCTCCAAGGTGAGCGCACTCTGTGAGCGCACTCAAGTCCCGTGGAGCCCAACACCCACGCCTGGAGCTGGTGCCCCTAGCCTGAGCCCCTGGGCTGTGGTCTGTGTGCAGAGGCACTGGTAGACAGGGCAGCACAATCTTCTGGTCCCCAGCAGCAGGGGGGAGACTGCCCCTCAGAGTAGGTGGTGGCTGGCACCGCAGGGGCACCAGCTTGATGTCGGTGGACCCCATGGGTGGCTCACATAGTCAGGAGAGGACAGTACCTTCTCTCACTCTGCCTCTGCCACCCTGGACCTGCTGGGAAGACCAGGACCTAGGATCGGTAAAGTCTGCTATGAACCCGAGGCATGGGCCTGAGCCCCACCAGCTGGCCAGTCAGGCCACCCCCGACATCCACTTGGTCTGCCAGGCAGGGAATTTATTCCCACCACCCGATTTCTTGGGGAGCCACGGACTCAGGCTGGAGCGAGGATTTGCTCTTTGCAGGAAAGGAGAAACCATTCCTGAGCCTTTCCCAGGGTTTTCAGGATTCTTGTCTCACTCACAGAAAATAATTAAAGGAGTAGACAAGCAGTTAAGTAAAGAGATTTTTATTTGGAAGGTTTTTGAAGGAAAGGAGGAAGAGAAACTGGGAGAGTGGAGAGAGAAAGAGTAACGGGCTCAACAGAGAATGCGGGCTTCTCCAAGGGTGGAGAGAGCCTTGAATGGGTTCTTGGGCTGGCTTTTATAGGCTCTCCTCGGGTCTTCTTGATCCAGACCGTTCTGTAGTTTTCTCTGGGCTGAATCACTGAAAGTAATCAGATTAACTGTCCTCAGGGTCTGCCAGTGGTCTCATCAAGTCTTTGTTTTCCATATTCAAGAGGTGGATCAGTCTCAAAACTTTCCTTCCTCGAAGTTTTGTTGACCTAAGTTTCATTGCCACGGGGCTTTCCCTCTCTACTGCCTACATCAAGCTGACAGCCTGTCTGCATTGAGAGCGGGAGATCCAGCTGGGCAAAACTGCCCTGAAGCAAACCTGGCCCTGCAGAAGCCCGCTCGCCTCTGGCCCAAGGATGGGCAGTGAGGACAGGGCTGGACACAGGAATCAGGATTCTCTGGAGGAAACCCTGGAAGAGATAAAGTGTGGCCTTCAGTGCAACCGTTGCCCAACACAGCTTCAAAGTGCAAAGGCACCTCTGATGTCCCGGTTTCGGAAATCGGGAATTAGCGTACGTGTACTTTCCGCGTGGGTGTGGCTCCTGGTCCCCGCCAAACTGTTAAATGGATGCTGAGTCGAAAGCCCTCCAGGGCTGGTACTGGACGGCTGGAAGCAGCCCCCAACACCTCATCCCGGGTAGCCCCCAACAAGCAGGGCGGGTTGGCGGGGCGCAGAGCCGAGGCCCAGGGCATCTCCCACCGAAAGCGAGTTCCAGGGGCTCCGGGGGCAACACCCAGCCAGGGGCCTTGGGGTCACGCCAAGCTCGAAATCTTGAGAGAAACGCAGAAGTCGCCCCACTTTTATTTTCTGCGATGTACACAAAGTATCTCGCCTCGTGGGGCCCCAGAAAACGCGGACCCTCACGCCTTGTCGCCCCCCCGCTGCTTCGCCTCCCAGCCTGGCTAGGGTTCTGGGGCCTCACAGCGCTGGGGTGCGGGGGGTGGATAAGGTCAGCGTCCGCGCGGCCCTGGGTCTCGGGGCGCCCAGCCCACCTCCCCGTCTCTGCCTGTGGCCGTCCTTCCCTCGCGCACCCCGCGCAGAAGACCCCGGGCCGGGCCCGCACGGGCCGCACGCGCGCCGGAAGTTGCGTCACTCCAGCTTCCAGCCGGCCGAAGCGGGGCCGTGCCAGTTACTGGTACGCGGTCCAGTCAGAATGCAACACGAAGGGTTTCGGGGGCGCAGGCGCGGGTCCGTCCCCCAGCGGGACACTCCGCCCCACTGCCACGTTAGACGATGGAAAGCGCGGGGAGCGCGCACGGCTCGACCAATCGGGAGGCGGAGAGCGCGGGCTTCCGCAGGCTGCAGCCAGTCCCGCGACGAGGAGGGCCGGGGAGCGTCGGGCCAGCCAGAAGTGGAGGAGAGAAAGTTCTCGGCCCGCAGCCAATAAGCGGCGGGCGCAGAGAGCGAGCGCGAGCCGCTCGGCCAATCACGGGCCAGGGAGGGGTGGGCGTGGCGGCCACTCCCCGGAGCCAATGCGGGCGCAGCGGGGACGCTCCCCGGGCCTCGCGGGCCAATCGGAGGCCGCCCGGGAGCGCGAGCGGGGGCCGGCGCACTTATAAGGGCGGGGCCGGTGGCGCGCGCCCTCGTCGCCTCGGCTGTCCCGGCGGCGCCAACTGAAGTGCCCGCCCGCCCGCCTGCCGACATGCTGCGCCGCTCTTTGCTCTGCCTGGCCCTGGCCCTGCTGGCCCGCGCGGGCGCCGACGCCCCCGAGGAGGAGGATCATGTCCTGGTGCTCAAGAAGGGCAACTTCGAGGAGGCGCTGGCGGCCCACAAGTACCTGCTGGTGGAGTTCTGTGAGTGCCGCGGCCTGGGGGCGGGGAGCGCCGGGCCGGGCCCCCGCGGTCAGCGCCGGCTCCGCGCCCGGCTCCGCGGGGCCCCACCCCTGGGAGCCCTGGCAGGTGCGGGGGGCGGGGCGCCCGGCCCGGGAAGTGCAGAGCCCCGCCGCTGCTCCGGGCCTCAGTTTCCCCCTCGGCCGCGGCGGGTGCTTGCAGCGTCGGGGCACGGACCCGGCCCGGGGATGGGTAGGCGCCGCGATGCCCTTCCAGCCGGCCCCTTACTCCCCCAGACGCCCCGTGGTGTGGCCACTGCAAGGCCCTGGCCCCTGAGTACGCCAAAGCCGCCGGGAAGCTCAAGGCAGAAGGTTCCGAGATCAGACTAGCCAAGGTGGACGCCACGGAGGAGTCGGACCTGGCCCAGCAGTACGGCGTTCGCGGCTACCCCACCATCAAGTTCTTCAAGAACGGGGACACCGCGTCCCCCAGAGAGTACACAGGTACAGGGCACGCCCCGGAGTCCTGGCGGGAGCAGGGAAGCCGGGGCCTTCCACGGAACCGGTTCTGTGGCCTCTGGGCCCCACCAGCAGCCGGCCCAGCCGGTCGCCCTGCTCAGGCCATTGTTCGCTGGTGGGGCCCCGGCCTGTACCGCTGCCCTGGCCCCCCAGCAAGTGCGGGGGTGATGGCTGTCCCATGCTGAGTCCTTCCTGGTGGGCTGGGCGCTTGTCCACTCCGGGCACCTGGGCATGCGAGCAGGTAGCCTGGCCGCCCTCCCTCTAGGGACTGGGGACGGGGCCAGGGCGGGTGGCCCCCCCAACTTCCTGCGCTTCCCTCTGTGTAGCTGGCCGGGAGGCTGACGACATCGTCAACTGGCTGAAGAAGCGCACAGGGCCTGCGGCCACCACGCTGGCAGACGTGGCCGCCGCCGAGGCCTTGGTGGAGTCTAGCGAGGTGACGGTTATCGGCTTCTTCAAGGTAGCTATTGGGGTCTTGCTGGTGTTCCCTGCCCTGGGGCGGGGCCCTGTGCCCGCTCGGGCAGGTGGTAAGGGCGCCTGCTCTGGCTCTCCCTCCTGCCAGGACGCGGAGTCAGACTTTGCCAAGCAGTTCCTGCTGGCGGCCGAGGCCGTCGATGACGTCCCCTTCGGGATCACATCCAGCAGCGACGTCTTCTCCAAATATCAGCTAGACAAGGACGGGGTCGTCCTCTTCAAGAAGGTGAGTGGCTGGCAGCCGCGCCCCAGGACCTTGCCCGCTGCTCTGGACTCTGCACCTGAATCTTATCGTCGCGTGCAAAGTCTGACAGCCACGGAGGTGCCTCGGTGGAGCGCCACGTGGTAGATGCCCATTGGTGGGTACTGCAGGAGGTTGTCCTGTGGCGGGTGCCCCATAGTGGGTGCCCCATGCCAGGTGTCCTGTGGTGGCTTCCACGTTCTGACTATCCCGTGATGGGTGTTGTGTGGTACGTTGTTCTGTGGCAAGTGTTGATAGCAGAGTGCCCTGTGGCTAGTACCACGTCACGTGGTGGGTGGTCTTTGGCAAATACCGTGTCCTGTGGCAGGCATCCTGTGGTGGGTGCCCTATGGTGTGTGCCCTACGGTGGGTGGCCTGTGGTGCTAGCCCACAGTGGTGGGTGTCACCTGCCAGGATTCTGCATGGTGCTGCGTGCTCAGTTCGTGTGACTCCGGGGCTTGGTCCCTGGTGCTGCTGCCCAGCTGTAGCTGGCCCGCTTGTACAGGTGACCAGCAGGTCCTCCGTGGCTTCTCCCTCAGTGTCTGCCACTCCCTGCTTTCCCAAACCTTGCATACATTGACACTGCTGTGCCAGCTCTTGGGGTGCCGCTGCTCCCCCAGGCTTCCTGGGCCCTGCGGGTACTATCACAGCTAGTCCAGGACCAGCCAAGGCCTGAGGGGTGGGGGGTGCCGCCCCAGTGCCCTGCCTGCTGACCATGAGTATGGGTAACTGATGCTAGGTTGATTGTATTTTGGGGTATGGGGCTGTGTGGGCCACACGGGGCAGTATGGAAGTGACTCCTGGCTCTGGTGGGGTTCTGGGGACCGAGGCCTCACCCCGCCCTCCATGCCCTGTGGCGTCCTGGGACAGTCAAGGTCCTTCCTGCTCTCCCTTCAACACATGGACAGCGCTTTTGCCCAAACTTGCTCACAGTGTTGGGTCAGTGCTGACTCGGTGGGGTGCTGGTTGGGCTGGCCCTGCTCTGGGCGGGGCCGGACTGCCCCTGGGGTCACAGGTCACCTCAACTGAGCCCCAATCCTGTGGGGTGCAGCTGTGGAGCCCCAGGGCCAGGAGGCTTCTGCCTCTCCACCGGGCCCTCACTGCCCAGCTCTGCCTCGGGCACTGGCTCAGGTTGGCACTGTGGTCTGTGCGACGTGGCCACCCGTCTTTCTGGAAGCCTCTGAGGAGTGGCTGTGAGACAAGTGTCTGTCCATCCCTCATCCTGGGGTCTGGGAGAGCCGGGCCAGTGGGCCGTCTGTGGAGGCTGCCACGTAGGTTACACTGAAGCTGTCATGGGCACAGCCCTGTGGGTACCCTCGGCTGCCTCGTCCAGCGGGGCTTCCGCCTTTGGGTCAGACCGCATGGGGTAACTTTGCAGCCCACGCTCGATGTTGTTCCAGACATCTCTGGGGCCAGACCCATCTCTCCCTTGGTCTGCAGTACTCCTTCCTTGGAGGCCAGGTACTTCCAGGCCCCTCACTCTCCACTTCCGGTTCTGCAGTTTGACGAGGGCCGGAACAACTTTGATGGGGAGGTCACCAAGGAGAAGCTGCTGGACTTCATCAAACACAACCAGCTGCCCCTGGTCATCGAGTTCACGGAGCAGGTGCGCGGGCGTGGGTGTGGGGCACGGCAGCCCTGTCCCTGCTCCCAGCATGCCTCAGACTGTGACTGTGTTCGCAACAGACGGCCCCAAAGATTTTTGGAGGTGAAATCAAGACCCACATCTTACTGTTCCTGCCGAAGAGCGTGTCCGACTATGAGGGCAAACTGAGTCACTTCAAAAAGGCTGCTGGTGGCTTCAAGGGCCAGGTGGGCCAGGGTCCTCAAGGACCAGAGTTTGGGGGGCTTCAAGGGCCGGGGGGCTGGGGGCCTCAAGCTTCAGGGCCTGTTCAGCTGCCTCCCTTTGTTTTCTTTTTTCTTCCCTGGGGGAGAGGGTTTGGCCATACCCGCTGGGACGCCAGGATCACTCCTGGTGGGCTCGGGGGTCTCTGGGGCACCAGCGATGGAACCTGGGTTTCCGTGTGCCGGGCAAATGCCCTCCCCGCTGCGCTGCCCTCTGCTGCCCGGAGCCTTCTGTGGGCTCAGGAGTCGGCCCGGAGTGCAGGTGCTGGGCCTCACCAGCGCTGTTGATTTCAACAAGCCTTTTCTCCCCCAAGATCCTGTTTATCTTCATCGACAGTGAGAGCGCAGACAATCAGCGCATCCTGGAGTTCTTCGGGCTGAAGAAGGAGGAGTGCCCGGCTGTGCGCCTCATCACGCTGGAGGAGGAAATGACCAAGTACAAGCCTGAGTCCAGCGAGCTCACGGCCGAGACCATCACCGACTTCTGCCACCGCTTCCTGGAGGGCAAGATCAAGGTGCTTGGCTGGGAGGGTCTGACAGCAGGAGCCGCTGGGAGCGAGCCCCGGGCCTGACACCTGTTCCCTGCAGCCTCACCTCATGAGCCAGGAGCTGCCCGAGGACTGGGACCGGCAGCCTGTGAAGGTGCTCGTGGGCAGGAACTTCGAGGAGGTGGCATTCGACGAGAAGAAGAATGTGTTTGTGGAGTTCTGTGAGTGGGCTGCTCCCGTGCGGGCAGGCAGGGTAGGGCAGGGGCACCCCCCGACATGTGCTGTGGCCTTGCAGATGCCCCCTGGTGCGGCCACTGCAAGCAGCTGGCCCCCATCTGGGACAAGCTGGGGGAGACCTACAAAGACCATGAGAACATCGTCATCGCCAAGATGGACTCAACGGCCAATGAGGTGGAGGCGGTGAAGGTGCACAGCTTCCCCACACTCAAGTTCTTCCCCGCCGGCCCAGGCAGGACGGTGAGCTGGACAGGGCAGGGCGTGGGGGTGGCCGCCAACAAACAGGAAGCCCAGCTGGGCAAGAGCTTCTTCCCATGCTCTTCGTAGGTCATCGACTACAACGGGGAGCGGACGCTGGAGGGCTTTAAAAAGTTCCTGGAAAGCGGCGGCCAGGACGGTGCCGGGGACGATGACGTACGTGTCCACAGGGATGCCCCAGCCAGCTCGTGGCCCGGTGGGTGTCCTTCCCCCACCGACTGCCCCTTTCCTCCTGCCGTCCAGGACCTGGAGGACCTGGAGGAAGCCGAGGAGCCCGATCTGGAGGAGGACGACGACCAGAAAGCCGTGAAGGATGAGCTGTAGCGCAGTCTGGGCATCGTACACTGGCGCGAGCACGCGCACACCGCCATCTGCGAGCAAGGGAGCGTCGGAACCGCAGGGACCTCTCGGGCACACCCACCGCCCTGCCCGCAGTGGGGCTCCGGGGACCGGGGCGGGCCTTGTTTTTAATTGTGATGTACTTTTTTGTACGTTTGTCCAGAGCTCGCTGAAGTCTCCTTGGGGTCTCGTACTGGCACTGTCCCCCCTATCCGCCCCATCAGAGCTGCCCCCTCGCTCGGCTCTGCCCCTCATGGGCTCTGATGCCAACCTCAGGCTGTCTCTGTCTGTAGCGGCCACGCTGGGGCCTGTCCCGTCCCTCATCCGGGCCAGAGGTGCCAGGAGCATGTGATCCTGTGTCTGGCACCCCGCACCCCTGCCCGAGGAGGTGGCTGCCTGTGGGGCCCGCCTGCCCCTGCGCCCTCCCCACCCCAGGGGCTGCAGTGCGATGGGGCCGTGTGGGCAGGCGGCCCCTTGCCCTGCAGGCCACCAGCTGGGGTCCTCCCCAGTCAGGCAGGGCCCAGACATTCTCACCATTTCTGCCTCAGAACTGGGATTGAACACATTGGCCAAATAAAATTGGGACTGTCTCTGTGCGTGCTGCCCTGACCTGTCTGAGCCCGCCGTCAAGTCTGCCCTCAGAGCAGGCTGGTCTCCAGGGTGCCATGTGGGCCAGCCGGCCACAGCTGCATCTGGGTCTGCTGGGAGACGGGAGTCGCCCTGTGCGTCTCTAGGATTCTCCAGCGTCGGGAAGTGTTGCTGGCTGCGGTCCATGTCACAGGAGGGACTGATAGTCCCAGCGCTTGCCCAGCCTGAGCTCCCTGCTGGCAGCAGGTCCCCAGGGTCATGGCCCCTTTGGGGGCCCGTGTTGTGGCCTTTGGGACTGTGGGGTGGGGCCCGGGGGCCTGGCAGGCACTGCAGGGAGAGGGCACATCCTGTGCCCCTCAGGCTCTGGGCTGTTGCAGCAGTGGGGTGCCAGGGACCTGCTCTGCACCACAGGTGTGCAACAAGGTGTGTTGGACTCTGGGTTGCCGTCAAGTTCCCACTTACCCGCTGGGTGGCCTCTTCCCCCTCTCCAGCTTCACCGCTCGCAGCTGTACCCCCAGCCATCTGCCCAGGGTGCAGGTTGCCTCTCCCCACCCCGTACCTGAGTCGGGGACTAGAGGCCCCTATGGGAGGAAGCCCTGGGCTGAGTTGAAGTGTGTCGACCACACAACCTGTCTGCCAGTGAGGATCTCTGCAGCCTGCTGCACACGCCCCAGAGCCCGAAGCCTTGGGCAGGTCTGCAGGCTGGGTGGTCAGTGGTGCCAGCAGGAGACTCTTGGCGCCCTGCTCTGCAGATGGCATGTCTCTTGTCCTCCAGGAGGTGGACGCTTGGACCTTGCAATGCTGTCATTTCACAAGTGGGCTGGGACAGTCTGCTGGGAGCTTGAGGAGACCTGGGCTGGTCGGGCAAGATGATCACCCTGCATTGCCGGATTCGGGGTGGCTCCCCATGCTCTCATCTGACCTGTGCTGGCACAGCAGACAGAACTTTCCAGGCCCCAGAAGATCATCTTCCAGTAGGGGATGTCCTGCCTCCTGTCCCCATGGCACCCTTAGGCAGCCTGGGGGCCAGCAGAGGAAACACCTCCCCCAACTCTGGCACCAATCTGGCTGGCAGGGGCTGTACCCTCATTCTTTTAGGACCTTCCCGGCCCTGGGTCTGCAGGCCTCAGTGCCCACCCAGAGGGGCTGCTGTGGGGTCCGACTGCAGCCTCCCCTCACACAGGGCATGGCCAGAACCTTAGCCGTGCCATCAGAAAGGCCACACTGGGGCTGGAGCGATAGCACAGCGGGGAGGGTGTTTGCCTTGCATGCGGCAGACCTGATTCCCACCATCCCATATGGTTCCCCGAGCACCGCCAGGAGTAATTCCTGTGTGCAGAGTCAGGAGTAACACTTTTACATCACCGGGTGTGACCCAAAAAAGAAAAAAAAGTCACACTGCCCGAGCTGAGAGGTGAGAAACTGAAGCAGCTGGGCACCAGAAAGGGGGGCTTGTGGGGGCTACCCAGGGGAGCACAGAAGCACCCAGCCCGGCCCAGCCCTTGGTCTTGTGGCAGACAGCTGAGAGACAGTGCTGGGCCCTAAAGGTCTTGGGGCCACCACAAGAACTGGGGCCCGGAGCAGCTGTGCCTAGGGGACTCACGCACCAGCCCAGTTCTGGAGCACCTCCTGCACCCACAGCTTGTCCCTGGGGGGCCCCTCAAACCCTGACTGGTGGCAGCAGCAGCGTCTGTGCACACATTTTTGCATGTGCACATGTGCATATACATGAGTGGGTACATGCGTGTGTGCAAGTGTATGTGCACATGTGTATGTGTAAGTGCACCAGATATGTACGTGTATGTGCATACATCTGTGTGCATGTCCGTGGAGGGGACTCCTGTTGGCCAGTGCAGGGCCACCACCCCTGGACACCTCAGTGTGGTGCCCAGGCAGGAACTGATCCAAGAAAGGTGTGGCTTGGGGGCAGGGGTGCCCCGGGAGGGGTGCAGGGAGAGGTGGCTGCCTAGAGGGGCACCGAGCAGGGCGAGCCCCAGCAGGAACTGATAAGAGGGTCCCCGGTGGCCCTCAGGCTCCAGGAGGGTGCTCGTTTCACCCACACATATACCAGAAGTGATCATCCATGGCACTGGAGTGATAGCACAGCGGGTAGAGCATTTGCGTTGCATGTGGTCAGCCCAGGTTCGATCCCTGGCATCCCATATGGTCCCCTAAGCACCGCCAGAAGTAGTTCCTGAGTGCAGAGTCAGAAGTAGCCCCCGAGTATTGCCGGGTGTGACAAAAAACATAAAAACAAAAAAATAAAATAGGTTTTCCATGAGGTTGAAGCAGCCCCCTACCACACCTCGCCTTGTGAGGCCCTGGCAATTTGACCACAGGACTGTCCTTGGGCCTCCCGCTGTCCTTTGGTGGCATCTTCCAGCTCCAGCTGTGGGGCCAGGGCCAGGCCAGGGAGGATGTGAGCCCCTGGCCAGAGTCCAGGGACAGGCCGAAAGCTAAGCCGCTAACCTGATCCCGCTGGGCACTGAGTCCAGCTCTGCTGCTTTATAGGGCAGCAGCGGCTGCACGCAGCGCCTTTCCCCGCACCCACCATGCCCAGCAGGGCCGTGCGTTACTCCCGCTACAGCCCCCAGCAGCGGCGGCGCCGGCTGCTGGCCTGTCGCTCTGTCCGCTTCTGCAACGACGTCCTCTTCCTGGACCACATCCGCCAGGGGGACCTGGAGCAAGTGGGGCGCTTCATCCGGGCACGGAAGGTGGCCCTGGACACCATCTACCCCTCAGGTGAGTGCCGGCAGCCTGGGTGCCTGGGCCTGGCGACACAGCCTGAGCCCTCCACTGCCCACAGGCCTGGCGGCACTGCACCTGGCCGTGCTCTCAGGGAGTCTGGAGTGTGTAAAGCTGTTGGTAAAGCTTGGAGCCGACATCCAGCAGCCTGACGCCGAGGGTAGCACTGCCCTGCATGTGGCCTGCCGCAACGGCTCTGCGGACATAGCCAGGTGTGTGTGGGGTGGGTGAGAGCATGGCTCCCCGCTGCTGGGATGTTGGGGGGCAGGGTTGGGGACAGCGTCCTGGGGGGTGAGGAAACAGGGACGGGAGGGTTGGGAGTGGCCCTGGGGGTGCTGCAGGTGGGGTCCTATGTGGGGTCTTATGAGGAGGGGAGGGTTGCGGGTGAGAGTCCAGATCACCCCAAATCAGCCGGTTCCCGAAGGAAGGATTGGATTCCTCAGCCCCACAAACTGGGGAGACACAAGCAGCCTGGCCAGCCCTTGCCCCGGCAGCCTTGGACACCAGGGCCACTCTTGGGCCCAGGTACCTCATCTCTCTGGGGGCAGACAGAGACGCCACCGACCTCGACGGCCACCGGCCCTCGGACCTTGTCGACCCTGAGTGCCAGGAGCTGGTGGAGTTCCTGGAGGGCAGCAGAGTGGACTGAGCCCTCAAGTGCCCAGGGCGCAGGGGCGGCACGGCCCCGCTCCTGCCGTCTGTTGCGGTTTCTCTTCAGGTAAATGTCTCCTGGGACAGTTTTCTCCACTACTTTCGGAATTTTGTTCTCGGGCTACACCCCGCGGTGCTCGGGTGACTTCGGGGGGGTCCATCCGGGGCTCGAACCGACACCACGCGAGCCCCGTGCGCTCGCTTCGCGGCCGGCGCCCACACGCTGCCCGCCCGACAGGGGGTGCTGTGCCCCGCGCTCGCCCGCGGCCCCGCCCTCCCGCTCACGTGACCGGGATCGCGCCTGCGCGGAGGCGTCACTTCCGGCCGGGGCCTCCCAGCTGGAAGAGGCGGCGGCGGCGGCCGAGCGGGCGAGGTGAGCGGGCGCGGCCGGGCCCGCCCTTGCCGGCCTGTGGCGGGCGCGGGTCCAGCCTCCGGCGGGCGGGGCCGGGCCGGCGGGCGGGGCGGGGCGGGGGCGGGGCGCGCGTGGGGCCGGGGGTCGGGCGGGCGCCGCCCGTGTCGCTCCCCAGGGGCGCCCCGAGCCGTGTCTTGACGCGGGCCGCAGCCGCGGGGCCGCTGGGTGCTCCGGGCCCGCCCGCCTTCCGGGACGGGTGGACAAGGCCACGGGAGACACGCGGGGACACGGCCCCCACGACACACATCCTCCAGGTGACACGGCCCCCACAACATACCCCGCCTGAGGGACCCGGTCCCCATGCCACACCCCGCCTAGGGGACACGGCCCCCAAGACACATCCCGCCCAGGGGACACGGCCCCCAGGACACACCCGCCAGGTGACATGGCCACGGGAGACGCGCGCGGGGACATGGCTCCCAGGACACACTCCACCCAGGTTACAGGACCCCCACACCACACCACACCCAGGGGACACGGCCCCCACGACATACCCCACCCAGGGGACACGGCTCCCATGCCACACACCTGCCAGGTGACACGGCCCTCAGGCCACACCCCGCCCGGGGACACAGCCCCATGCCACACTCCGCCCGGGTGACATGGCTACAAGAGATACACGCAGGGACATCGCCCCCATGACACACACTACCCAGGTGACATGGCCACCATGCCACACACCTGTCCAGGTGACACGGCCTCGGGAGACATGCCCTGGTGACACACTATGCCACACACCCACCCAGGTGACACAGTCACGACACACCCGCCTGAGTGACAAGGCTATGACAGTTCTTCCCACGACACGTGCATGACAGGAACCTTCCCCGGTGTACACATCCACGACATGGATCTACCTACTGCACACTTCCACGGCTGACCTGCCCATAACATGTCCACGACACAGATCCGCCTGTGTGACGTGTCCACAGCATGTCCCCAACACAGCCACCTGGGCAACACGTCTGTGATACAGACCTGCCCGGGGAATTCGTTCGTGCCACAGAGACCCAGGTGACACATCCAGACACAAACCCGCGCACAACAAAGACTCAGCCGCCAGCGAGTAGGGCCAGGCACACAGGTGCAGGGACCTGAGGGTGCCGGGGCCCCACAGTGAGTCGAGTCCCCGAGGACACTGCTGCCCAGAGGCGGGCCCGGGGGCTATTGCACCCTGCCCACTCCTGAGCCCGTGGGGTTTGCCTTTCTGCTTGTTGCCTCTTGGGGCACCTGGACAGCTGGAGGGACCCACCTGCCTGCCTGGGGAGTGCCTGGGGCAGTCAGGCTCAGGCTTCGGGTCTCTAGAGTTCGTGGGCCAGACTCAGGCGTGGCCCCTTGGCCCATGCTGTCCGGGTGCGGTGTAGCCTAGGGGGGCATGGGGGCTGGGCTGGACTGCTCTCCTCTCCCCATGGCCCTGTGAGGAGCCGGTCTGCCCCTCTGCCGTGGCTGCTGTCACCAGGACTGAGGACTCAGGGGCTTCCTGCTGGGTTAGGGACTGACCCCTCGCCCCCATGGATCTCCTCCACCTCCTTTAGTTTATCTAAAGGTTTATCTATTTGGTTTGGGGGCTGCAACCAGTGGTGCTTCAGGGCTACTCTTAAGTGACTCTGCGCTCGGTGACCCTGGCAGGACTCAGGGGTCCTGTGTGTGGTGCCAGGGATCCAATCACGGTCACTGCACAGGATGGGCAAGCAACTCCCCCTTGCCGTCTTCTGGCCCCTGTTGGTTTTGTTTGGGCCGAGTCAGACTTGCACCCAGCCCCTCTCTCTGTTAATGACCTTTCCTCTGTGTCTGACCTGAGGGTGAGTGAGGGCACAGCTTGGGGCTCCTGGGTGGGATGGGAACCCGGCCTGGGGTGCCCTGCAGCCCCTGAGAGGAGACAAGCAAAACTAGCCTCCAGGCACCCCCAGAGGAGAAGCAGGCAGGAGGGAGACTGCTAAGGCATCACTTGCAGCTGACCCCAGCAGGACCACACCGTCCCCTGGTCGTCCCTGACACCATGGGGCCAAGCGCCTATGCGCTTGACCACAGGCCCAGCTGGCCAGGAATCACTGGGCAGGGCCCCTGTGCCTCCCGAGCCCCCCAAAACAAGACAGAAAAGCCGAGAGGGAAGCAGATGAGCCGCGGGGTTGCCTAATCCTCTGTGTCGGAGGACGTGAGGCGGACACTGCCAGCCTGTCTCAGTGTTCTGGGCCCAGCGCTGCTGCAGCCCACAGCTCCGTCCCCTCCTCCTGCAGTGCCCGTCTGGGCCGTGGGCGACTCGGCTGGGTGCGGCTGGGTTCCTGGTGCGTCCCCCGCCCCACCCAGAGCTCCACCGTTCCTGTGCACTTCCCTTGCAGGCGCCCCGGGGACCTGGCAGCCGCGCACTGGGACCAGACTCCCCCGCCATGACCAGGTGGGTGTCAGGAAGCAGAGGGTGTCGGGAAGCACCCCACGGCCCCTCACCAGGTTTTGTGTCCCCAGCTCCCCCGTCTCCAGGGTGGTCTACAACGGCAAGAGGAACAGCAGCCCCCGTTCGCCCCCCAGCAGCGAGATCTTCACACCGGCCCATGAGGAGAATGTGCGCTTCATCTACGAAGGTGGGGCCGGGGCGGCCGGGGGGCGGGGCTGGGCCACGGGGGCTCTGACCCTGCCCTCCCCACAGCCTGGCAGGGCGTGGAGCGGGAGCTGCGCAGCCAGGTGGGGGGCGGCGAGCGGGGCCTGGTGGAGGAGTACGTGGAGAAGGTCCCCAACCCCAGCCTCAAGAGTGAGTTTGGGCGAGCCCGCCCTGCCTGACCCTGCCTGACCTGGCAGTCTCAACCCAGTGTCCCTGCCCTGCGGCCCCTGACCCCACGGCCTCTCACCCTGCAGCCCCCGACCCTGCATCCCCTGATTCTGCCTGACCCTGTGGCCTCAACCCTGTGGCCCCTGACCCTGCATCCCCTGACCCAGCAGCCTCTGACCCTGCAGCTACCAACCCTGCAGTCCCTGACCCTGCCTGACCCTGTGGTCTCAACCCTGCATCCCCTGACTCTGCATCCCCTGACCCTGCAGCCTCTGACCCTGCAGCCCCCAACCCTGCATCCCCTGACCCTGCAGCCTCAACCCTGTGACCCCTGACCCTGTAGCCCCTGACCCTGCAGCCCCTGTGGCCTCAACCCTGCGGTCCCTGATCCTGCAGCCCCTGATCCTGCAGCCTGACCTTGCCTGACCCTGTGACCCCGACCCTGCAGTCTCTGACCCTGCCTGACCTTGCTTGACCTTGCAGCCCCTGACCCTGCCTGACCCTTCTACTCCACTAGACCCTGTGGCCCATGACTCTGCGACCCCCTGTCCCTGTGATCCCCACAGCCTTCAAGCCCATCGACCTGAGTGACCTGAAGCGCAGGAACACGCAGGACGCCAAGAAGTGCTGAGGTGTCTGAGTGGCCCCAGACGGCATGGCTGAGGCCCCCCACCTTGTGGGGGCTTCTCCAGCGAGCCCACCTCTGGGAGGCCCAGGCCTGGCCCGCCCCCGCCACCCCCCGGGCCTTGACTCTGACTCCTGACCCCTCCGCTCACCCCCGCCCGCTTGCAGCAGCAGGAGGGGACCAAGTCTCCTCTCCCGGCCTGGGACTCAGCGGGGCGGCCTGGAGGTGGGTGCGGGTGCCCCCCTGCACCCCGAGCGGAGCCCTCGCACCTCTGCTTCTCCGGACACACGGGGAGCACCTGGCCCTCCCTGACTGTCCAGCCGGCCCCTCCCTTCCTCGCACCGACCTCCGGCGCCTCCAATTTTTGGCGCCCACAACCTGGCCCTGTGGTCCGCGGCCCCCCGGCCTGGTGCTGGGAGGCCACCGGGGTGCCTTGCCGCCAGGCCCGCAGGGTGTGCGGGGCGCTGAATAAAGGCAGGTGGAACCAGTCCCTCCTCTCTGGCATGTGTGGGGTGCCTGGGCGGGCTCGAGGCTCCCGGGGCGGTGGCCAGGCCTGGTGCCTAGGCCTTTGCCCAGAAGCCACCAGGCATGTGCCCCACCAGGCTCATCCCTGCCAGCACATAAGGCCGCCTGAGCTCCACATGGGACCCCAGAGCCAGAAAAGCTGGAGAGTGCCCACCATGACCTCTCGCCGCACACGTGTGAACCCTGGGGGTGCTCGGCGCTGTGGGCAGGGGATGTGGGAGTGTTTGCCTGGGCATTCAAGGGGAGGGGCTTGTGGTGACTGGAGCAGGGGTGTGTGCAGGTTGTGTAGGTGTGGGTGGGGAGTTCCTCCCGGCAGGGTTCAGGAGACCATCTGGGGTGCTGCATTAAGCCCAGGTCGCGGTGTGAGAGGCAGACGCCCTCCCTGCTGGCCTGGCAGTCCTGCCCTGAGCAGCCCACTGACTTTAAGACTCAACTTTCCTAGTATCAGGTGCCTGTGTTCTGTGCACGAGTATGCCTGTGTGTGTGCCTTGTGTACCCGTATGTGTAGCTGTGTATGTGCATGTACTTGAGTGTACGTGAGTGCATGTGTGTGAGTGCATCTCTGTGTATGTGCTGGACTCGAACCCAGGACCATCACCAGGACGCATCCTGGTGGGCTTCCCCACTCAGCTCCGAGCCCTCTGCCTTCCCTTTTCAGCCCCCGGTAGTTCCTTCTTCAGTTCTTTCTTTTCTATGAGCTGGATCCTGACCCGGCCAGCGCCCCCTGCTGGGCGCTCCCAGCTCCCCCTCTGATGCCCGCCCAGCAGTGGCCACCCCCACTGCGAGCTGCCTGGTCCAAGCCTGACTTCAGTGCTTGGGTGCGTCCACCGCCACCGGCCAGCTCCAGTTCCCCTTGGGACGGGGACGAACGGGGTGAAGGAGAACAAGGACAGGGAATCAGGGTGGGGAGGGCGGCCAGGAGCACCCCAAGGCCACCACCTCCGCTCAGCAGGCGTGAAGGAGAACCCATGTTCTGTCACCTCTGGGTGTCCAGCGTTGGCATGTCCCCGTGGGCAGGAGCCTGGGCAGACGGGCTGGGGGTGGGGCGCGCACATGGGGGGCTTAAGACTCATATCTGGTCTTGCAGCCACCTGCCTGTAAACCCCAACGCCCCGCAGGGGGCCAAGGGCCCCTCAGGAGGGGGGCAGCGGGGTGAATAATGGTGTTTACCTTTCCCAAAGGCCGCCTGTCCTTCCATTGGCGCCAATTAGCCTGGCTCTGCTTGAGCAGCCCTGGCCACGTGGCTGGCAGAGGGGGGCGGAGGGCACCCCTCCCCCAACACAGGGAGCAGGGACACCACCTGCCGAGCCCAGGACACAGGACGAAGAACTGTCACCTGCGCCACAGGCACCAAGCACCCGGAACCCTGGGGCTCCCTGGGGATGGGCCTCGCTATCTGTGAAGCGGGGGTGGGGGGGTGCTGCCACACTGGACCTGGAAGTCAGTTCTGCACAATGTACACGCCCACCGAGGCAGGAGACCTTTATTATCTGGGGTCCACAGCCGGGGCCCACCTCAGGGACAGGGACGATGGGGTGGCCACAGAGTGGGGGGCTCTGAAGCCTGGACAGCCCTAGGGGTCTCCCTGCAGTTCTGAAGGGGCCCCAGGCAGCCCTGAGCGGCTGCTGGCCAAGCAGGTCTCTGCAGAGTGGCCCTGGCTGGCCCCGCTGCGGCCGCCAGCCCCCAGCAGCAGGCTCTCGCCGGGGCGCCGCGCCTCACAGCTACCGGCCAGTGGCTGCTCCCGCCAGCGCCGCCAGCAACGCCGCAGCTCTGCCTGCACCTGAGTGGACGGAGGTGGCCAGCTCGGATGGAGGCCATAGGCCTGCAGGATCCCACGTTGCGCTCCTCAGGGAAGGGCCGAGAAGGCCGCCTGGCATTGGGGGCACCCCGCAGACCCCACCGGCCACCTACCTCCTTGTTGAGGAAGCAGTAGAGGACAGCCACCAGCAGGCCCTGCAGGGAGGACTGGTCACGTGGGGGCCAGGCCTGGGGCAGGGTGCGGGTGGGGGAGGGGTGCGGGCAGGGGAGGGGGCGCACCTGGAAGGAGCTCAGGAAGAGGTCGAAGAGCAACTTGGCGGAGCGCAGGGCGCCCTGGGCATGCTCATCTGTCACCAGGGCGAACACCACTTCGTGGACCCCCAGCAGGGGGATGAGAGTCAGGGTGGACTTGGCCAGCCTGTGGGGGCACAGCCTGAGCCTGGGGCAGTGCTCCCCTCCGCGCCCACCCCAGCTCCCCATGGTGCTCACCGGCACTTATAGTCGCTGGAGCGCATCTGGCGGGCTCGGAGCTTGGCCACGAGTGTGTGCAGGATACGGAGGAAGATGAAGAAGTTGATCTGCAGGGGCAGGAGGTCAGGGCCTGCCCCGCAGTGGCCTGGGAGGTGGGCCACCCTCACCTCCTAGCCTGCCCCTCACCAGGATGGCCAGGAAGACGGGAAGGCGCAGGATCCACCAGAGGCCCATGTTCTCGTTGCTGGTCCAGCACCTGCGAGGGTGGGGGCTCACGTGCAGGCAACTCCCCCAGCCCCCCGATTCACCTGAAGCCCAGCCCCAGCTGCCCCCCACACTGCCTAGGTCCCTCGAAGGCCACATCGGCGGCCACGTAGTCAGCACATACTCACTGGACGTTCTCGAAGAGGCACTTGGCCACAGCCCAGGGGATGACGAAGAGCATGGGGGCGCCTGCGGAGAGGCAGCATTGTGTTGCCCGCCACGCCGCCGGCCCCACCCCCCCGCACTCACCCCAGCCGATGCCCAGGTAGAGGGCCAGAGCGCTGCGCTCAGGAGTGGCCAGCCGCAGGAGGCGGTCCAGGTGCAGGCCCTCGGCCAGCAGCCAGCAGTAGTTAGACACCACGCCGTAGTGCATGAAGACGGCGGCCACGCGGCAGCCCACCACGGCCTGCAGGGGGGCAGCGCATCAGCGTGGGCTCCGCCCGCCCCACCCGGCCGGGGGCCCGCCACTCACCCCATCGCTCAGCCACACGCCCATGCTCAGGTCGTCGCCCACTGACTGGCCGTAGCGGGTCTTGAGGAGCGCGTCGATGACCAGCACGGAGCTGGCCCTGAGCACAAAGGACAGGAAGAGGTTGGCGTGGATGGAGTTCCGCGTGCAGTGCAGCTTGCTGTGGAGACAGGCGTGGGTGTCACCATGGGCCCCGCCACCCGGCCCCCGCCCTGTGTCCCGCCCCTCACCCCACACGCTGTCCCTACCTGAGGGCCAGCAGGATGAGCAGAGCCAAGAGCAGGGCGGCCAGGGAGAGGGAGTAGCCCACCGTGTACATGAGCTGGAAGCTGGCGAGCCTCCGGGCCTCCTCCCTCTGCAAGCAGGAGCTGTTCAGCTGGGCCCAGCCCGGCTGCCCCACTCTCCCCCAGGCCCCGCTCACCTGCACCTCGACCTCCTCCTCGTCCATCTGGCACTGGGAGGCATTGCGCCACGGCTGCCCGCGGGGCCCACGTGCCCACTGCCCATCTGGCCCGCACCTCTTGAAGACGAAGCGGTGCTGCACTGCGAGGACAAGCAGGGTCAGACCCCCCCTGCCCGCCGCCCACCCAGCCTGCTGACCCCCAGATGCCCCGGCCATCACCTTTGTGGTGCCAGGGCAGGTACCAGGGGCAGGAGATGTTGGCGGTGGTGTTGGGCGGCGTGTCGGGCCAGCAGGAATACTTGTCAAAGGTTCTGTTACAGACCAGGCCTGCGGTGGGGGTCAGGCACCTCAGCAGGGCCGCCACTGCCCCACTGCCCTACCCTGCCACCCCACCCCCCACCCCCCCCCCCCCACCCCCGCCCAGGACAACTCCAGCCTGGCTGGAGCTTGCTCCCTGGACAGCGTGCGCTCCAGAGTGACCTCAACCTTCCCAGGGGCCCCACCTCCACTGCCTTACCTCCTGGACCCTCTTGGGGGGGGGCGGGGCGAAGCCCATCTGTGAGGTGCTCCTGTCTAGCACCAGCTTTGACCTGACCCCGGCACCCTTGCCCCAGACAGAACTTCCCGCTTCTCCTGCCCCCTCTGTGACCCTCAGAGAGATAATGGGATCTGGATCATCTTACCCAGAACCTAACTGGGCCTGGCAAGTCACTGGTCTCTCCAGTGTTAATGGGCAGGGCTCATCAGTTTGGGGGGGGCGGGTGTCTCACTGGTGGGCGGGGCCTCACAGGGCGGGGCGGGGCGGGGCCGTGGGGCGGGGCCTGGGCGGGACCTCACTGGGCGGGTGTGTGAGCCTGTGGGCTGGGTCTCTGTCGCAGGGGGCTGTTCCTGGGGGCCGGGTGGTGGAGGCTGTTCCCGCGGGCCGGGTCGCGGGAGGGGAGGGGGTGTCGGGGGGGGGGGACGGGGGCGGGGGCCGGTCCCTGGGGTTGGTCCTGTGGGGTTGTCCCCGCGGGCCGGGTCGCGGGGGAGGGGGGGATCGAGGGGAGGGAGGTGGTCCCTGGGGCTGCCCTGGCTCACCCGTGGGCGGCGGCAGCAGGCTCAGGTTGTGCAGACACTGGTCCTCGTACAGCTTCCACTTCTCAAACAGGAAGTCGGTCACCTGCGCGGCGGGGGCCTGTGGCTGGTGTGGACAGCGGGTCAGCGGGGCGGGGGACGCAGGGGCCGGCGGGCCGGGCAGGGCTCACCTGGGAGAGCAGTGGGGGCAGCAGCAGCAGCAGCAGGGGGGGGCGGGGAGGCCAGACGGGGAGCATTCCTCTGGGCGGCCTCTCCCCACATCTGGCTGGGGCAGCTCCGCGGAAAAGGCGATCCACGGGGGTCCAGCTCCCTGGAGACAGCCAAGGGTCCCAGCGGCAGGATCTGAGGGGCGACACCCCCCGGGTGAGGGGACCTGCAGGGGGTTCTCGCCCGAGACAACCCTGCTGCCTGGGCCCATGGTCCAAAGGATGAGAGGGGGTGGGGAGAGAGGAGTGTGAGGGACCTCCAGTGTTGGGGACTGGGCCCTGGGGGGTGGAGACGGCCACCTTCTTGCTGGTTCCCAA